GGAGGGAACCCACGCAAACACGGGGAGAACATGCAAACTCCACACAGAAAGACCCCGGCCTGATGGTGGAATTGAACTCAGGACCTTCTTGCTGTGCGGCAACAGTGCTAACCACCGTGCCACCGTGCTGCCCTTTAAATTTAAAGCCTAATGGGCAAAACAACAATTACAAGACAGCATGCGTTCAACGGTGCTGGCATGAAGAGTAAACAATACAGTCAACACCCAGCAGTATGCAGGATTTGGATAAATTACCATTACATTCACAAATATAGCAGAAACAAAAAATTACCTACAAAAACCAGGAAGACTGGTGCAGTGCATTATATAAATAGCAAGATACATGAGAATGTTTTTCATATAACATCAGTGCAAAACTAAATTAATGTGTTTATTATTTTTCTAGCAGTTGTTTCTTTTCTTTACCTTTTTTCTTTCTGGTATGCCTCATTACTCTTTCTATTTGTTTTGTTCTGATACAGTAGAAAAAAAAATCTCATCTGTCTTCTTGGACATAAGATTTTGCTGGAAATACATACAATCTGGACTCCATTTGTTCTTTTTCACTCAGAGACAATCACTCATGCTTCGAGGAATCTAAGCATTAGATTCTGTCAGTGACATCCTCTTCAGCAGGTTCATTTTATGGTAATACCCAACACATGTGGACTAACGCTCCGTTTTCCCACTAATTCCTCACAAACTTTTGCTTGTTCTGAAAAGTGATTACACAGGTATGAACTGTTTGCTTTAAAGTGTAAAACAATCCAAGTCACGCGTCCAACAATAAGTCGGCTGCATGAGGTTTGTGACAGAAATACAAACGACGTTATGATTTGAAATTTCTAACAGCCAACAGCATGTGGGCTCAGTCTGTCTTTTCTTCTCTGAAACATCAAACATCCGCGTCGCGTAAATGATGTGAGGAAAGAACTGATCTTTGACGGCTCTGTAATGGGCAGAAATTGCATTCATGTGGTCAAGGGATCAGGATTATTTGACATGAACACCACCCCATCACTCAGCACATGCAGAACAGTCATGATGATGCAAAAAAGAAAGAAAAATACAAGCATGGAAAAAAGATGTAATGACCTTTTTCTTTCTACCTTGTGGTTTTGCATTCGAGTTCAGGTTACCACCACAGGACTTATACTTATTTTGAAATCCTTTTGATGTACACTTTGAGATTACATTAAAAACAAATGCACACCTACCAGCCTTTGAAACCATGTTCAGCTCTATGTGATTGATATCACATGAACCAAAGATGAATGAAAGCCATAAAGTTATCACGTCATAATTTATGGTTGATTTTGGATCACACGCACCGATAGATGTGAGGTACTCAACTAAGACTTTCATTCCTGTGACTGTGAAACACATACAAAATTTGAAATGATACATTACAATATTCAAAGTACATTCTTACAAAAATGAAATAATTCAGAAGTTTGCTAAACATTTCTGTACATGCAAAACTTGCTTAGGCCTTCTATTTGTGATCACTTCTTGAACCAACATACTTTGGTTGGAATCACCTAATGATCTCCATATGTAGCTGTTACATCCTGTGAGGCTGTGAGAGTGTGTGGGTGGGGTGTTTGCCCACTCTCTCCGCCTCCTCCTCTCTTGCCACTCCTACCCTCTCTGTCTCTCTCACTCTCCTCTCGCTCCCCAGGACAGCTGTTTTTGATAAGCCTCGTTTGCCACCTGAATCCAGTCAGCAATCACCTCTGAGGCTATTTAAGCTGGGGATGAGCTGTGAGCAAGGTGGGTTCTTCCCCTCTGTGGCGCTACGCATTTTTCTGCTAGGTTTTGGACAGGCAGCCTCCTTGCGAGTAGTGAGTAGATGGGCTTGTGGGCCCTGGAAGTGTCTCCCTGTGGCGAGAAGTAAAATATGAAGTGGGAAGTGCCTCCCTTATTTGTTTGGTAGCTTTTTCTTTTGTTGCTGCGAGTATTTCCTTTGTTTCTTTGGCATTATTGGTAAAACGGCGTTGCTAGCTCTTTAAGTTAACGTCATTTGTAATAAAACTATATTATTTGTAATAAAAAATATTAATATTATTATTATTATAGAACAACTCTGTCTGTTTATCTTCAGGTCAGCCACTAACCAGAAGGTTGGTGGTTCAATCCCAGGCTGCTCCAGGCCAAATATCCAAACATCCTAACCCCATGTTTGCCCACTACTGGTGGTGGTCAGAGGGCCCGGTGGTGCCAGTGTC